CAGGGAGCCCAGATACTCTGCTGAGGAGCTACCATCGCGTGTAACAAATGTGGAGGAAGAAGATGCGTCAGCAGCTGCGTCCGACAGAAGACGAGTAGCTTGGCCACCGGAATCTCGATTCGTTTGGGACTCCGACTGGTGCGAGCGTGGACAAAAGTGTATAGCCATGCCCAGCCCGCGGGAATGATTTTGCTGGTAGGATGCTGCCGTCGCTGTCGACAAGACGGCCCAAGGTTTCTTGCGTAGCGGACCTCGCAGATTACGAGATCGTATCCTTGCATTAGGCTGTGCTCATCACTGCTCTTCGAGGTTATCTCGACATGCAGAAGCCGCCAATGCCAGTGACAGAAGAGTCTGACATTAGGTAAGCCTCAATTAGTTTGCCTTGACTTGTCTTGTGAGGATCGCGTATCAGCATGATACACTTATTCTTATTTTTGGGGGAAATTTATTGTTGTCAGGCGCACTACAGTAGGCGTCGCACAAGAAAGACATTGTACTGGTAGTTATCACAAGTTTCATGCATGACACAAACAAATTTCTCTTTGCTCCGAGTATGTCTTGACTTATCTTGTGAGGATCGATGCGCGTAATGTTTTGTGTGTAACTAATTATTGTTGTCAGGCATAGCACGAACAACGTTGTTCTGTACTATAGACCGTGCTATCACAAGTTTTCATGCATGACTCACATTTGTCTTTGTCATTTTCCCTTGGATTGGTACACGATCTGCAAAGTATGGTAGGTAGTGTTCTGTTGGTGAAGAGAGCACTGCACACAGTTTATGAGCACCATGGGTGCATTTGATCACACCCGAACCCATACTTTATCGTTTCAAGCGATAAGACTTTGTCAATAAACTCGTTCTCTAGTATACCATAGCATGCAACGTACAAGCGTGGGGTCAAGAAAGCGTACACCAAAATAATGCACAAATTCTGGCAGGAGAGTAAGAAATCTGTACTTTCTGACCAAGACATCTCTGTACTAGTAGGTAATCGAACGCGTCCTAATCAGTATTCATCCCCCAGATCATTGGAATTCAATTTGAAATCAGCAATTATGGTAAATTCTACAAGACCCTCCACACTAAATTAGTATGGCGCGCGCACTGAAAGTGCAGGTAGGTACCGGTAGGTGCAATACAGCGCATATGTAGAGTAAATGAGTATTTGACTATAATAATTATTACGGTACAGCAATGTGGTATGTGTACAAGCACTCATCATACACATTCCATATGACATTCTGTGTTTGTGTAGATCTCTACGCTATGCAGCACACAGGCAGTACACACTATGTACACGGCAAATTGGGCAAGCACGTTCGTTGTCGTCTTCCAGCCTGCGTTGTGAATACCATCAGGCAAAGATATCCAAATCCTGCACCACCTCAGCCTTCTCAGGAGGCTTCCACCTGGAATTTGGCAGGGAAACACGCTTCTCCAAGGCAGGAACATGGAGGTTGCCATTTGCAACCGCTACCACCTCACACATGAGCTTGTCAACATACTCATAGCTCTTTCTGTCGTATAATTTTCTATTTGGCCACAGTCTTCTTTATGCTTTGAGAACTGGACTTTATACCTTCCTATCGCGGTCTTTTTGGTTGTGCTGTGGCGACGGTTGACATTGACGTCGTCAAGAGCTGCGAGATGTGCGTGTCCAATCATCCCCAGAATTGAGAAACGAATGCGTTTGAGAATGTAGTTTGGCATGACACTGTGATATACCTGCATGGCAAAAAGAATGTGGAGAAAACACACTTGCTTAGACAATATACTGCTGTATGAGAAAATGGAAACTTCACCGTACAGGACGACTCTTGTTCTCAATTGCATTGTTCGTTTCATTCCCTGTGTTGCCCATAAGAGACGGGAGCAAAAATGTTGCAGCAGATGTTTGTTGTCTTCTGGCGTGGAGTGGCGGCGTCATTAGATGTACACATAGTCATTTCACTAAGTATACCACTACTACAACATATGTACTATCCTTAGGCTAGCGTGCGTGCGAGTGAGTTTGAGTATGTGGGTGCGTATGTGTGTGTGTTGTTGTGTTTGTGTGTGTGCACGCACACGCACGCGCGCGCATGTGGGTGATGGTGTGAGTGCATGTGTATAATATGTGTAGTTCCCACTGTATTCCTTGCACAATAGGTCTTCACTTACTTTTCTTTCGCATACAACCAGAACCCATTCCTTGTTCGAAATTAGATTTTTTTTGGCCTGGTGATCCCGCAAGCGTGGAACTCGGAGTGTAATATATTTTTGTTTCACTTTACTTGCACTATTCCAAGGCTGTCCAGACTTCTAACAACTGCTCTCAGTGATATGGTATTCATGCAACCATGCCTAGAAGTAGGGTAGCTGTTATAAATAGAGACATATCCACGCAATCAACTTACACTGGTTCAGTTTGGCAGGATTGGTGAGACAGTTCGTCGTGCATGCTGCCTGCACATCGCAAGCAAACAGTTCTGTAACCTTCGTACTTGCTGGGGGTCTGTCTGTTTGCGTCCCAGTTGATGACAGATGTGCACAGTTTGAGTACTGGTATGCGCAAAGTTACTGGGGTAATATCGTTCATCAGCTAGCTGCAGTCGGAGTTGATGGGGTGATGTACTCTTCTGATCCTGGTGGGACGTATCTCGCCCTGCTTTCTCAGTTGCAGCTTGTTGAGTTCGCTTTGCTGGAGGCTCACGGTTCGGAGGGCACTGGTACACTGATGAGGGCTTTCCTGGACGGCGTACTCGTCAAAACTCAGCTCTCAAGTCCCTCTGGATCATAAATGCAGCGAGCAAACATAGCTCGTGCTGCGAAAATAGGCTTGAAATTTTCACGACGCATTGCAACATCTCGGCGCTTTGCCAGGTCTCCATCCTTTGGGAATTTGAGAAAACTAACCCCAGGAGGATGATGTGATACTGGCACAATCAACAACACAACAATTTGGCATTGCAGCGGCTCAGGCGACTTGGCAAACTACTTTCTGAAGTGACTTTCGTCCTGAAGAAAGTGAGATTCAAAATCCAAGTATTTTCGCACATTGCCACAATGACGTCACACATACATTGGTATGGGGCGTGGCTAAAATTGAAATATCTCAAGAACGCTTTCTCGTAGAGACTTCGGACCAAGACCATTCGACTCAGCGCCCGAAACTCTACAGGCTATCAAATTTTCATTTTTTCGTGGAGTTCCCCTTTAAGTTGCCTCTCCTATGATTTTAAATCTGCCCCTTTGCAAGTGTCCCAAACAGCTTTTGCTGATGACTTAGGCCTCTATAGCAAATCTAGTGCAGGTTGTCAAAAACTCATTGCGGTCACGGAGGACTTTCTCTCGTGGACCCAATGTATGCAGGCGGCGCCGCACAAATGCAAAAGCAGTGCAGCAAAGCTTGTAGATGGCCGGTACAAACCTTACGATCCCTGCCTGACAATGTCAGGGAGGAAGATCGCTTTCATTGACACTGCAGAGTTCAAGTTCCTGGGGCGAAGGCTGCATGCTGATTGCTCTGAGCAGACCCAGCGGGAAGACATCCGTCAACTCACTGTATCTCTCATGCAAAAAGTAGATGGCTCTTGGCTTCAAGACCACCACAAGCTATGGCTTTACCACCATCTTGTAGTGCCCAAGCTTTCTTGGTCTTTCCAGGTTCTTGAACTCACACAAGGTTTTGTACGTGAACTGCACTTTATGTGTTTACCATTTCTGAAGAAATGGTCAGGCCTACCTCGATGCGCAAACTCTGCCATTCTTTTTATTGGCAGTCGCAAACGCTTTGGCTTACGCCTCCACTACCTTCCTACGGTGTGGAAAAAGTGCCAGTCCATCAAATGGCACATTCTTCGATCGAGTGGGGACGCGCGCATGAGGGCGCTGTACACTATGCGTCGGAGTAAGGATGCGAAGCTGACAAAGCGATATGCGGCGACAATAGAGCTGGAGTGTGCAGAGGCATCAGTAGGTTCAGGGACTCTCCGTCCACCGTCATCTTCAAGTCATCGTGCAGGGTTGGGTGCTCGTGCTCCGAAGCAGCATTCCAAACCCCCGAGGAAGGATCTCCTTCAAACATTTGAGGAGATCAACGCGCAGGAGCAGATTTTGAGGCTGAAGACTCTTCAGGTGCAAGGCAAGTGGTTGGAGTGGACATCGGTGATGTGGCAGGACCTCTCGTGGAAATCCCTTTTGTACGGTGGTACTGGTAAGGATTTGAAATTTCTTCTCGCATCAACCCTCGACGTGCTACCTTCTCCGACGAACCTACGCCGTTGGGGAAACACCGTAGTGGATCCGTACTGTAGTTTGTGCCGTACCTGGGCCTGTACTACGCGCCACGTGCTTGGCGCTTGTCGCGTAGCGCTGGACCAGGGACGTTACACCTGGAGGCACGACAACGTACTCGGGGTCATCGTCAGGAACATGCGTGAGGAGATTCGAATCCGCACTGCTGCAAACACCGTACAAACCGAAAATTCAAATGACCTTGACTTCATCTCGTTTTGCAAGGCGGGAGAGAAGCCAGTTCGCGTTCAGCCCAGACGAAAGTTGGTTACGACTGATCTCCTGTCAGCGGCCTCAGACTGGAAACTTCTTGTCGACTCAGTTAGTGCAAAGATTTCTTTCCCTAGCTGTGTTGCACTTACCACCCTAAGACCAGATATAGTTCTGTACTCTACGAGTCGTAGGATTGTATTCTGGATGGAGTTGACAGTTTGCGCTGAGGACAGATTCAGTGTCAGTAACTCGCGGAAGGACAGGCGGTATGCGGATCTGGCCGATCAATGCCGAGCAAACGGGTGGCAGGTCGTTTCTTTTTCGGTTGAGGTAGGTGTGCGTGGTTTCATCCCGGACTCTCTTCGGAGGGCTCTGAAAGCGCTTGGATTTTCTAATCGAAGAATAAAATTTATTTGTAATTTGTGCAGTAAGACGTCTCTGCGAAGCAGCTACATCATCTGGTTGCGGCGTCAACAAAAACACTGGTCGGAAGATCCACTTTTCTGAGGTACTGTATGTGGGGCTCCGTTTATTGAGGTGCGTTGAAATTTATTCTCTTTATCTTATTATTTCTTTTCTATAATTTCCCCATATGAGTTCCTATCAGTTGCTGTGAACACCTTGAGTGGAGAGCGCTTGCTCGAGCGTTGAACCGGGTTCTTAATCCACCATACCCAGTTCGCAAGGCTGGGCGGGGTTGTGAGCAGGCTTTCATTTCATCTTTTCTTATTATTTCTTATTATTTCTGCTTTTCATCTCATTACAAAAATTCTGCGCTTTTTCTCCATCTGCGCATAAAATCTAGACTGACAACCTGCTTGTTAAATCATGCACCTGCTTTCAGGCGTAAAAACCCTGTTGTAGAGGTCTCAGTCCTCATTTGTTAGACTTACCTGTCTTTATAAATGTAACTTACTCTCTCTCTCTCTCTCTCTCTCTCTCCCTCTCTCTCTCTCTCTCTCTCTCTCTCTCTCTCTCTCTCTCTCTCTCTCTCTCTCTCTCTCTCTCTCTCTCTCTCTCTCTCTCTCTCTCTCTCTCTCTCCCTCTCTCTCTCTCTCTCTCTCTCTCTCTCTCTCTCTCTCTCTCTCTCTCTCTCTCTCTCTCTCTCTCTCTCTCTCTCTCTCTCTCCAGCCACTCCAGTCGACCCAGCGAAGGTGCAAGTGAAGTTCCAATGTCCGACTGTCTTCAAATTGCTTTCCTCAAGGCTTGCAGACACCACATTTGCCTTGTTTATCCCAAGGAGGTATGTCGGATTTTGTTTATCAATGCGACCTGTAATTCCCGCCGAAGTTCTCTTCATCTGAGACCTCGTGCTGGAGATGTGGCGGTGCTTGGAATGTTGGCGACTTTCGTTCTCGCTATGTGTGTGCGCAAGTATTCTCCTTAGTGTGGTCATTCTGCTGTTGCTGCTTATAGGCCTTGCACACAACGTGCAAACGCATGCACGCGTGGGACTTTGAAGTCACTTGCAAACCGCGATCCAGTTCACGCGGTGCTGGGAAAACGTTGCGCGCGTCATTGCATCCACAGAGAAAAATCTTAAACATGCCGGGAAATTTCAATTTTTGGAATGTTCACTTTCGAAATAATAATTCACACACTACATCTGTGGCGCACGTTTTCACCAACCGACACTTTGGTCGCGTGCAAGGTAGAGTCCTGAGCACAAGGGCTCCGGCCAAGTTCGAAAATCAGTTCCACGAGTGTGGCCAATTTTTTTGGTTTTTGTTTTGTTTTAAATCGTGTTTAAATAACCGACGAGGAGACAAAAGTCGTAAAATAGCAATGAAAAATATCAATTGTGCACTCATAACCATGTATAAACAATTAAAATGAAACAATTCCAGAACGTTTTCATGTGACTATCATCAGTGGAACATCGTCACATAATAAGAATCACTAAAACAACCAGTTAAATAGCTAGAATATGAAAAGAAGTAGTGGCCCAGGGTCCTGGTCACACGGAGCAAAACATTCTACCCGTTCATGGCCGGACTCACGGGAAGTTGCCATGGAAACGGCAGACTGAGATCCGGTGTCACATGTCAAAAGTTGTGTTCTGCCCCCCCCCCTCCCCCGCGCGTGTCTGCTGCAGATTCTTATCATCGACCTCAGCGTTCAGCAGACGGTTGGGTTTGTGGTGTGCGAGCGCAACAGCACGGCGTTTGTTTCGGTGATGACCTGTCGCCAGAGAGACGTGCTCTTCTGCCTGCACGAGAGTGGTTCAGTCTCGCTGCGCGTGCGCCAGCCGTATCTCAGCGTCACAAGGTGAGTCCTGTGGTCTCCTGTAAGCTGTCAGGTCTGGGCAAGTTGGGGGGGGGGGGGGGGGGGGGGTCTCGGCAGTGCGTTGACACCTCGTGTCAGGTGTTGTCTCGATAGTGCATTGAGCATCAGGTGTTGTCTCGATAGTGCATTGAGCATCAGGTATTGACTCGATAGTGCATTGAGCATCAGATATTGTCTCAAGAGTGCATCGAGCATCAGATATTGTCGAGAGAGGGCATTGAGCGTCAGACATTGTCTCGAGAGTGCATTGCGCATCAGACATTGTCTTGAGATTGCATTGAGTATCAGATATTGTCTCGAGAGTGCATTGAGCATCAGATATTGTCTCGAGAGTGCATTGAGTGTCAGGCATTGTCTCGAGAGTGCATTTAGCATCAGACATTGTCTTGAGAGTGCATTGGTTGTGCGGCGGTGAATGGCGGGAACTTGAGATCCTGAAAGTGGATGGGACTGAGTGGCACAGTGGATGTGTACGGAAAACCTCGGGAGTGTGTTAGACTAGGTACGGCTGCCGTTTCTGCCTTCGTCTCTCAGCACAGTAAAACTCCCCTAACTGGGGCGCGTTGGGACCGAGCACCACCCGTAACTATTAAAGGGTGCGTTCTTATATTCTCTAGCATCACGGAGAAGAAGAAAAGACAAGTCGAAGAAAGTGGTATAATGCAAGAACGGGTCTCCGAGGATTCGGAGATATTTTCTATTATTTTGCACATGTGAAG